CCCACCCACTAAACGACTCCCCTGCACTCTTACACCCGACGTCCGATCCTCTCCGAGGTCAGAACCCGGATGAGGTAGGGGGGTTACCGCGGTCAACACTACAACCAGACGGCGCGGCTCACCCCAAGGACGCCCAGCCGACGGAGCCTTCGAGGCGAATCGAAGGCTCTGAAACGTCGGCCGTCTCGGTACGGCAGCCCGTCAGGCCGTCCAGACGGTGCCGCTGGTGTCCCGGAATACCCCGCTGGACCAGAACCAGCCTGCCGGGTCGGGACGCGATACACCGCCAACCGGTCGCTCTTTCGTAACTCGTTGGCAGCGCGCTATAGTGCTGGTAGCGCGCCGCGCGGCCTCTACCCCCTCAGGTCGCCCCTTGACCTTCACCGGGGGGAAGCCGCCATCTACAGGGGCCGGAGTCGGGCAAAGGCCCTTCTCCGGCCCCCGGCTCGGCGGCGACGGATAGGTGCGGAGAGGGATGAGCTTTCGCTCTCTCGTTCCGTCGAGAGACGGTTTTCCTAACCTCTACCCTCCATCGGTTACCCCTTTAAACCTAATTGAGGAATGCTTTGACTGTTCTGTAAAATGTATCTCAGTCGTACTTGGAGAGTGGTGCACGAGAACTTAGTCAGTGTGTAGTATATAGTAAATTGACTTTAGTGCGCTCTCCGTTAAATATGACGGCAGAAATAGGCGGGGTGGTGGTATCTACCCGTGCGAACTCCCAAAAGGCCCTACCACCAGTAGTTACGCAAATTACAATTTTGCGAGTTTCATTTTTATTACACGCTGAAGATTTCTTAAGTACGTATTTCATTAGAAAAATTGGTACGCGCCTGCAGGTTTCGAACAACGGTACATAGCTTGATACGATTGCACCGGACGTCTAATCCTTTAGGCCACGTTGACTTCTACATCTGCGACTTCTATGTCCTACCACCAGCTATTATTAGCTTTGACGAGGCAGTGCACGCTGTTAAATCGACCTGCCTATTCTGTATGCTGTATGCACTTCTGCAAGTCATCACGATTCACGGTGCAACTCACGGGTTCAGTACAACCGTTCATCCTCTCACCCTCAGTTTGATATCATACAAAACACTCGACGCTCTGAACGCAAATAAGAAAATGAGATTTAGTCCTAATCTTGACAGACGGGCTCCTGGTTCAACGCAATCATTTCCTTTGCTGACACTCTCTTTACAATCACAACAATATAATTTATTAATGAAATCGTGCTGGTCGGTTTGTCCTTCCTATATAATCAGTAACGGATCATCTATATATTAATACGTGAAGCAAAAACTTTGTATCCCTTTATACGAAAATTGCGCGGACGGAGGAGTATTAAATTTTCCACACGTATAGAGAATATAGAGAAGAAGTGCACAATGCTAATATTTTTTTTAAATAATGCATAAAAGATACATTAAATCAATAAAGAAAACATGCACACACTACATACCATGTATTTGACGCACACACGCATACATACTCGTACTATTTATTGTCAAACTTTTGTTCTTCCCGTCTGTGGTCAAATTGAGAATAGATTAAATATTGTTTGTCTTTATTAATATTTTTTTATAGAGTAGCCTTGGCGAAATTTGTGATTACAGAAGTATAAAATACAATCATAATAGTGTACAAACTTACAATTTCAATTCATTATAGTCGAATTTCGACTACTGCGGGACCTCTAGTCATAATAATAACGTAGTTTTTTGCACAAAACATCTGATTGGGCGGAGAGTAATCTGGATTTTTTATTCAATTTAAACAACTATAAATCTGGCGTTTATCATTGCCACTCGTTCGCGAGAACGAAAACTGTAAAATATTCGAAACATCGGACTGTAAAATGACAGTAAAACCCCGAGACTAAACCGTAAAAGTGCTTTTAATTGCGTTGTTTTTACGTACAGGTGATGTCTTATAACACTACACAATAACTATGATCAATTATATGAAAAGCATTAGTTGATTCGCGTACCATTTTTCGTACGTTAATTAATTAATTAAATCGTTAACATAAAATAAAACATATTATTCATTTGCTTATCTAAAATATAAGGAATCGTTCAGGGTTCTCACGCCTCCGCGTTTTATCAAAGCAGACTCAAAAGCCAGCGTTAATAGTGCCGTAAATGTGTAATGATTATCGATTATCAAACTAATATGAACCTAAACGATTCGCAGAGCGCCACATTATTGCCTGCCACACAACCGACTTTGAATGTTTCAAGCGACAGTACAAGTCACTGAAAGACAACGCACTGCTTAGACCAGGGTGGGTCGATGATTTTTAAAACCAAAAAAATAATAGTAGGATGAAACCCATTAGAAAAGGAGGGGAATATTATAAAAATGAAAGAAAAAATAATTTACGGGCGATCTGAGGTCGGGAAAGGGGATGGGGGTGAGTTTTTAAGGGTAAAAAACGGTTTTTCTCGATTTCCGGCAAAACTAAAAGTCCTATGGAAAAAAGTCAAATGGTAAAGTTGTATGTAATAAAAAGATCCAAAAAATTTGTATTTACACTTTTTTCACATAACCTCAAAATTTATGTGAAAAATTCAAAAAACCAAGTTTTGGTTTTTTATTTTTATCTTTTTAAAAAAAAACATTTTCGCGTAAAATTTGGTGAAAACTTCCCTTTTTATGTCCCAAACACGCTGTAATTTATTTGATTAGAAATATTTATTTTTTCACCTTATTTTGAATTAATATCGAAAAAGCACCCTAATTTTCATTCGAAAATTCACCCGTCAAAATATCAGCTTTTTCCAAAAAGCTGGAATGTTTTCTGTTCGTTGAAATCTCTAATTTCCAATACTGAATGGTATCTAAAATATATTTAAAATATATGAAATATACATGAAAATCGGCCAAAATGTAGTTATTAAAATTATATTTACTATACATATATTTATATATTTATACATTTTTATAGATTTTTAATATATTTTTTATGTATTTTGAAATATATATTTTTTTCATGGGAGTAACTAAATTTGTTGGTGCAAAATTAAGGAGATTATTATTTTTTAATCTTGTACTAAAATATCATTCAATTTCAATCTTTAGGTTATGTTACGTTAAGTATACTATTTTTTAAAGAAAATATTACTATTTTTATCTTTGAGTTGATTGATACAGATAAAAATAGAGATAGTATTTACCTTCCTATGCAGATTCAAAAATTTTTTTTTTAAGTAATGATGGTCTAAAATTTTTCGAACTTCAAACTCACCCCCATCCCCTTCCCGACCTCAGATCGCCCGTAAATTATTTTTCCTTTCATTTTTATAATATTCCCCTCCTTTTCTAATGGGTTTCATCCTACAATTTTTTTTTTCACTTTTTATTATTTTTAAAGGCTTCTACCCTGGTCTATGCTGAGCAATATGAACCTCGGTATTGAGACTTACAAGCCTTACGTGTACCAATATGCGGACACCGGAACTTGCATCCAGATATCCGGTCTAGAGCAAAGTGAATTAGTTGCTATCAGGTACAAATCTATTTAATGTAATTTGATATATTTACAATTTTAATGCTCAGACGTGTGAACGATCTCATGGGTTACCTGGTGTTAAGCAGTGTACATTGGTCATAGACTGTGGCAGGTGTGGTGGTAGGACCTCTTGTGAGTCCGCACGGGTAGGTACCACCACCCCGACTATTTCTACCGTGAAACAGTAAATCGTTTCGGTTTGAAGGGTGGGGCAGTCGTTGTAACTATACTGAGACCTTAGAACTTATATCTCAAGGTGGATGGGGCATTTACGTTGCAGATGTCTATGGGCTCCAGTAACCACTTAACAGCAGGTGGGCTGTGAGCTCGTCCGCCCATCTAAGCAATAAAAAAAAAATTATACGAGAATCGATCAAATTTCATGCGATCAATAAATAGTTCGATTGAAACACCGACTTCAATCACTTGTACTGAATTATTATAACTTACGTAGTTCATGACTCATAAATTAAACCTTCTTTTTTCAGTATGAACAGCCAGTATAAGGAATACTCTATTATTCTAGAAATACCGTTTAAAATACAACAAATACTGAATGGAACCGAACACTGCAATGAACCTGATCGTGGTATGACCGAATTTACTACTTTAATCAACCTTACTATAGGTTTTTTTTTTCCTTCACCGTAGAAGTCAATCGTGAATATTTGTTGAGTACGTATTTCATTAGAAAAATTGGTACCCGCCTGCGGGATTCGAACACCGTTGCATCGCTACATACGATTGCACCGGACGTCTTAGCCTTTAGGCCACAACGACTTCTCCAAGGTAGTAATAGTGTGTTTTATCCTAGATTGCCGGTCCCCCTGACATTAAGTGGAAAATGTGAGTTGTATAGCAACTGTTTCACTCTTCAAGTCCGAACCCGCTTGGTTGCATTTGCAGAATGATGCCAATTCGCTTGCCAATAATATGGCCCGCAACAAGTAACTAACATGATAGAGTAGTTTAATTTTTGTAATAAATCCAAATGATCAGAAGTATCGGTGATCCTGTACCTATTTAACGTAAACTCTTGGAATGTTTGCAAATTTAGCTAGCCATATGGATACGAAAGTAGTCGATGGTTGATAGGAAACAAAATATAAAAAGTTTGTAATTCATGTGTGGCGAGGAGCACATTCTCATAATAAATACTACAGGGTTTGCACGATGTACGGTCGACGGTAACTAATTTACTGGTCATCATCGGCTTATTACCTCCACTGCTGGATATAGACCACAAGACTCGCCACAATGACTCAGTCGTGAAACTTTTTAACAAGCACGCGCTTATATTGTGTGTGCCAAAACACCAAACAAGTTATGAAGCATGTACTACTACACTACACTGGTGGTAGGACCTCTTGGGAGTCCGCACGGGTAGGTACCACCGCCCTGCCTATTTCTGCCGTGAAGCAGTAATGCGTTTCGGTCTGAAGGGTAGGGCAGCCGTTGTAACTATACTGAGATCTTAGAACTTATATCTCAAGGTGGGTGGCGCATTTACGTTGTAGATGTCTATGGGCTCCAGTAACCACTTAACACCAGGTGGNCCCTGCCTATTTCTGCCGTGAAGCAGTAATGCGTTTCGGTCTGAAGGGTAGGGCAGCCGTTGTAACTATACTGAGATCTTAGAACTTATATCTCAAGGTGGGTGGCGCATTTACGTTGTAGATGTCTATGGGCTCCAGTAACCACTTAACACCAGGTGGGCTGTGAGCTCGTCCATCCATCTAAGCAATAAAAAAAAAATAAAAAAAAACAATGTACAATAACACTTTACCCCGATTCCGAATGCAATTTTACCACAGTACTATCGGCATTCGAAACTCAAGCCTCGTGTCTGAAGGAAACTGCCGGTTACCACGTAATGTCTACGGGATCAGCAATCTACTGTACACCATGTATATCATAAACCAGGTGGTTCGTCTACGCAATAAACGAAACAAAAATCTCCCAGAAACTTGAGCCAATACTGGTAAATTTACAATGATATTAAATGGAAAAACGGCTTTTGGTGAACAAAACTTTCTTTCCTCCTTCTAAACAGTTTTCATTTTTAACAGTTTACATAACGTAATATTGAATAGTAATCGAAAACGTATTCCGGATAAAAGTAAGCGGTTCCAATAAAAAAATTATTTATTCTTCGTTCTTATTATTTCAGCATTTCAAAAAATCGGACTTCATAAAGGTATGTAAGGAAATTTTATTTTTATTAATCGTTCAAGCCTGAAACGTTAAAGAATTTTAATTATTCCGTCTTTCAAATCGGAACCTAAGTTTCCTTGCACAGTACGGTAGGGAAAGGAACAAATTACCGAAGAAACAAAATATACAAAGCTAAATTTTAACTAATTAATATATGCGTCTTCATTTAAATTCCATAAGTAACATAATTTATGTTCAAACGTTACACATACAGCTACTGAATATAAGAAGTGTCTAAAACTTTTATTCTATGTTAAAAAAAAAACTATACAAAAAAAGAAGTTGAAATGAACAAATTGATTTCAGGGCCATTACGAAGATTCACTGGCAATGGTGAGTTATATTATATGATAATATATATTTTTTATTCACACTTCGCTAATTGTAATGTTAGGCCGGTGGAAGAATTCATTCCATCATTATGCACCCAACTCGGGTTCATTGAGCTGAATAATAATTGATTGATCAGCGCAGTGACATTATGGGCTGCAATGGCGGTTGAAGGTCACAGTGGATTATGGTGCCGGCACTAAGAATACTACCTAGTATATCTCAAGGAATAGTATCAAGCCTGGAAATATCGCTTGTGTAATCAAAAGCTAATTGATATCGAAGGGTGAAAAGCTGTTTAAGCGACACTTTTGTAACTTTACAGGAGAGTCATTCAAACTAAAAAATTTGGTAAAATATCATAACAAAAAAGCTTCTTCTGATATTTGTAACTTTTTTCTTTTTTTTTGCTTAGATGTATGGAAAGTTCACAGCCCACCTGTTGTTAAGTGGTTACTGGAGCACATAGACATCTACGACGTAAATGCGCCACCCACCTTGAGATATAAGTTCTAAGGTCTCAAGTATAGTTACAACGGCTGCCCCACCCTTCAAACCAAAACGCATTACTGCTTCACGGCAGAAATAGGCAGGGTGGTGGTACCTACCCGTGCGGTTTATATTCTCTCTATATATATACCTATATATACATTATGTATACCTATCTAAGTAACAAATATTTAAATAAGCTGTTCTGACGTCCGGAAAGACATCTACCCGAAGATTTACATCAGCTATTTTGAATACCGAAAATTTTGCTAACAACAATATTATATCCGTGACAATGGCTACATAAACAAGTCCCTTAGAGGTCCGAGGGCCCATTCAATATGCCTCTCTCGGAACACTCTGTAATCATCCTATTGTTCTCACACTCTCAAGTTTACCGCGCCAGATTATAGACGCTAAAGTCCCGGGGCGCACTTCACTAAGTTCTCCTAAGTTTATGAAACATATAGTGTAGAATGTTTACTTATAAATTGAGGTTAAAGGGCTACGGTTGTTGATTCTGTTATAACGCGGACAGCTTTTATTCTATACAGATGTGTTCTCCCTATTTCCTCTCAGAATAATAAGAGTAGAGAAAATATTTTTAGACAAAACCATCAATAGCTGCCGCTGCTATGTCTCTGTTCCATTTCTTCATTCGTTAAAAGTTAAGCCTCTACCAATTTTTTTACTGGAGGTAGGACGTCTTGTGAATCGCACGGGTAGGTCCTACCTACCACCCTGTCCACCCTGTCCATTTCTGCCATGAATACGTTTCGGCTTGGAGGATTTTTTCCCTACCTATGCTAATAGCCTTGAGAGGCTATTCCAGCTTCTCCTTGACGTGTAGGTGAGCTCACGGGGCTGTTACTAGCACTGGCCCTAGCAAGAGCAGTGCTTCGCAGAATCTACCACTGGATCGGAGACGTGACCCACTGAAAAGATCCGGCGAGAAATTCAGTGGGCTTTTGAAAGATGGAGCAGCCGCTGTACCTACTGTAAAGACTGGAACCTTAGAAGTCATGTCTAAGATCGGTGGCGGCATTTATGTTGTGGTTTACGGGCTCCGATAACCTCTTAACACCAGGTGGACCGTGAGCTTGTCAACCCATCTGAGCAATGTAAACAAAAAAATTCTGTATACAGATTTAGCGGCCAACATATAATATTGAAAAACACTTAAATAGTGTAGATGTTTTTGAAACAAATATGGCGCCAACTACCCGTCGCTTTCACATTAAAATAATGCTATTAATATACTGAATGAAACAGATCTTAGCCCACTGAGTTTCTCGTTGGATCTTCTCAGTGGGTTGCGTTTCCGATCGGGTGGTAAATTTTGCGAAGCACTGCTCTTGCTAGGGCCAGCGTTATCAATACTCCCGGTTATTGACTGACTGACTCCCGGTTATTGACTGACTGACTGACCTGACCTGACTTACTTGACCTGTCGGTGAGCCCCGTGAGCTCACCGACAGGTCAAAGAGAAGCTGAAATAGCCTCTCAAGGGTATCAGCATAGGTAGGGAAAAAAACCGATGTATTCATGTCTACAGCTGACATAAGCCCAAAGTAACTAAATTTTTTAACTAAAATAATAATACTGAGAGCATTGTTTACAGCCACAGCACAAGTCACGTATCCATACCGATTAGATCAAAGTGAAGGCGAAACGTACTTAAGACTTGAAGAAGAGAATCTGGATATGATCCTCGATCTCCCCGACCTCAGTCACTTCGATAAAACAGACCCTACACAAGGTGAGGAGAAATCTTTTGAGAAGAGATTACCGGTGGTAGAACCTCTGGTGGGCTTGTGGGTCCTTAACTAATACACAGACCTTAGAACTTATATCTCAAGGTGGGTGGCGCATTTACGTTGGAGATGTCTATGGGCTCCAGTAACCACTTAACACGTGGGCTATAAGCTCGTAAACCTAACTAAGCAATAAAAAAAACATATCTCCTTCAAGTCCCACTTAGGCTCAAATCTAGAAAATTCATAAAGTCCAACTATTAAAATGCTTTATGGAACTTCACCAAATAATTGGCTTCTCTAAAATTGGCGGTCATTGTGAGTTGAGTTCTAACCGAGTTATAGAAAGCGCAGTTTGGTGATCCTACAAGTTGGACTGTCCAATTCGTTTAGCCCCATAAGAGCCACTGGACGCAGACAATCAAGACGAGTTAGTTGTTGTCGCGAACAAGTAGTGAATGTTTTATTGATTGATTAAGAAAAAAGCATTTTTAAGACCTTTTATGTCTTGAAATCGTGAAGTAGAGACGATAAGACAAATAAGATAAGATAAATCTAAGACGATTTACGAAGATTTAAGCCAGACTAAATTTTTCTTACTGGTGTTTCTTACTTCGAATAGAGCGTCTTGTGAACCTACACTGGTAGGTACAACTCTGCTTATTTCTGCCGTGAAACAGTAATTCGTTTAGGTTTAAAGGGTGAAAAACCGTTGTACTGTAAAAACAGAGTTCACTAATCTAAAGAATGAAGAAAAAATGTTTTCTTTTTTTATTGCTTAGATGAGTGGACCAGCTCACAGTCCACCTGGTGTTAAGTGGTTACTGGAGCCCATAGACATCTACAACGTAAATGCGCCACTCACCTTGAGATATAAGTTCTAAGATATAGTTACAGTATAGTTACAACGGCTGCCGCGCCCTTCAAACCGTAATGCATTACTGCTTCACGGCAGAAATAGGCCGAGCAGTGGTACCTACCCGTGCGGACTCACAGGAGATTCTACCACCAGTAAAAGTACTTCTTTTATAGAATGTTCTATAATCTATATATATAAAAATTAATTGCTGTTCGTTAGTCTCGCTAAAACTCGAGAACTAATTTTGGTCTTGAATTATTTGTGGAAGTCCAGAGAAGGTTTAAAAGGTAGATAAATATGAAAGTGCTCGAAATTAAATAAAAATAACAATTTTGTTTTCCCTTAGATGTGTCCCCCGTCGGACGGATTCCTTTTGTTTGTTTTAAGTTTATTTTATACAAAAGCTTAGCTCTTTTATTTATCGATTGAGGCACTACGAAGTCTGCCGGGTCAGCTAATTATGTTAAGTAACGTGTCCCGTTACTGATGTATATCTAGTTTACTGATATAATAGCATCTACTTCAACAAATTCCCTTCACATCAAAACGAAATGACACAAAATCATCTGACGGCCGTGGGCGGCTACGTAATACGACGATTTTCTTAAGAGCCTCCACGAAAGATACGCCTTCTTTAGAATTTAACAACGAGACATCGTAAAGAATTACTGAGTCGTTAAAGGGAGCGCTTCGACGATAATTATGAGAGTGTTCTGATTGCGCCCCCGGACATTTCGTTGCGTTACTCTCATTTTAATGGTCTCCGGGAATCGGAGTAAGGGCTCGCCAGGGAGACCACTATGAACTGGAATACGTTTAAGATTGAAAGATTATTAAGAAACGACACGAATTCTCAATTTCGAAAATAATGATTTAATACTTACTAGAGGTCCCGCAGTAGTCGAAATTCGACTATAATTAATTGGAATTGTAAGTTTGTACACTATTATGATTATATTTTATACTTCTATAATCACAAACTTCGCCAAGACTACACTATAAAAAATATTAACAAAGACAAACCATATTCTATTCTGAATTTGACAACAGACGTCAAGAACAAAAGTTTGACAATAAATAGTATGCATGCGTGTGTGCGTCAAATACATGATATGTAGTGTGTGTAATGTTTTCTTTATTGATTTAATGTATCTTTTATGCATTATTTTAAAAAAATATTAGCATTGTGCACTTCTTCTCTATATTCTCTATAAGTGTGGAAAATTTCATACTCTTCCGTCCGCGCAATTTTCCTTAAAAGGGATACAAAGTTTTTGCTTCACGTATTAATATATAGATTCCACACGGTCAGTGGTTACTTGTAGTTCCTATTTACTGGCGGTTCTCAACCAACACATTGCGTCGTGAAATTTACAAATACTTTTGTCTGAAGTGACCCAAGGACTTGAGTTAGCTGTACAGCCGTTTTTAATAGATTAATAATGTACTAGTGACCCGCAGTAGTCGAAATTCGACTATAATTAAATGAAATTATAAGTTTAAACATTATTATGGTTCTATTGTCAAACACTATTATAATTCGATAATATAATCACAGTATTAGCCAAAACTGCACTATAGATCAATAATATTAAAGACAAAAAAATTCGACCACAGACTAAACAATAACAAAAAATTTCCAACTGACAGTAAGCAAAGAGTATATTTTTTATATATGTGTTGTGTCAAATGCATGGTAGTGTGTGTAATGTTTTCTTTATTGATTTAAAGTATCTTTTAGGCATTATTTTAAAAAAATATTAGCATTGTGCACTCCTTCTCTATATTCTCTGTAAGTGTGAGAAATTTCATACTCCTCCGTCCGCGCAATTTTCGTAAAAAAGCGTACAAACTTTTTGCTTCACGTATTAATATATAGATAAATATAAATTGTAAATTTAAATATACCTTCATTTCAAGTATCAAAAATAGTGCATATAAGAGGCTAGGGAATTTTTGAAGAGTACGTTGGCATTAGACTTTTTGGAGGGAGCGCGAGGAGTGCAGTTGTATGATTTGTTTTATTTGGTTTATTTAGTGTTTCTTCAGGTTTCAATGTGTAATAAAGGTGGCTTATTAACTATTTAGTATCTGTGAAAATGCACATATGTGGAAGGAAAGAAAGAAAGAAATCATTTATTCGCTAATATAGTATAGCAATATATATATAATTTATATAGTGAAGATGAGTTATTATATAAATTAAAAGCAGTGTGTATGCTTTGTCATTATTTGACATGCGAATTTTAGTGCAGTGCAAGATATTATTATATTATATAATTTACCATTCATTCATCCATAATTCAACTAATAATTAGTAATAGGGAAAATAAAAAAAACCACTGGACGTAAATTCTCGGGATCTTACAAAAAGTCCACTGAAAAAGTCTCAGTAAATGACCACCATTTTACTGAGATTTTTTATATTTCATTCTATATTATCTCATCTCATTTCGTTTAATTTCACTCCACAATATCATTTTTGTTAAAAATAAGAATATAAATTAAAATAAGACTTGACCAAAAGGTCTTAGTTACCCAGACATAAAATCCCTTAAAAAAGTATGTTGCTGCGTTGCTGAGTGAAAAAAGTTGATACGTACCTACTGTATTACACATAGATTATACACTTAGGTATTACATGTATGACATGATTGGCAGTGATAGGGCGTTTCGATTCTTGGCTACTCTGGGTTAATTTGTCGCCATTTGTAAGGCCATAAGCTTGCTTACCTATATGGTCCAGTAAAATATAGTTTTACAATTGCAGCGAGACTATCAGAGTGGTCAGCATGGGCCTACCGAGTAGTCCAGCACGCGGACATCGCGAAGCATGTCCTGATGTCACACACGACACTACTGCGCGACCTTATTGGTCGATTCCCACTAAAGAAGTAAGTCTTATGTATTTATTGTACTACCCACCACCTGTTAATAAACTGTTACGGAGTACATTACTGCCCTCCCCCAAATACTAGAGACAGAGAGAGCCAGAGAGACAGAGAGAGCCCATAGACATCTACAACGTAAATGCGCTACCCACCTTGAGATATAAATTCTAAGGTCTCAGTATAGTTACAACGGCTGCCCCACCCTTCAAACCGAAACGTATTACTGCTTCACTTCTGCTGAAATAGGCGGGGTGTGGTACCTACCCGTGCGGACTCAAAAGAGGTCCTGTCACCAGTAACTACGCAAGATCTTAAGTCTCAATGATACTATAGATATAGTGGTTGTCTCACCCTTCAAACCGAAAAACATTTTTGGACGGCCGTCTGGTGTAATGGTAAGTGACATGGTCACTACACAAGGTGGTCGTGGGTTCGAATCCCGCCAAGGGAAGATATTTTGTATGAATAATATAAAATGTCTTTTCCAGGGTTATGGATGTATATTAAATATATGTATGTGTATAATAAAAATCTTACATTTATTTCCGTTATCTGGTACCTGTAACACAAGTTCTTTACGAACTTACCACGGGACTAGTTAACGTGGCGTGGTTGTCAGTAAATATTTATTATATTTATTATTATTATTTAAACAGTATGCTAATAACAATCCGATTGAGCTCAGAAAAAGCTCCAAGAGTGGTGTGACTAATCAAACCACGCTTTAATCTGACTAATGTGGTCGCATGAAACACTTTTTTAACAGGAAGAGCGGTTATTGTGCAAAATACTTTTATAAGAGGGCTTTAACTTTTTGCTATAGGCAACGGCTTAACTGTGGCCCGTACTCTCGTCTGCCTATAATGGCAATAAAAAAAGATCGTGTTTTATCTTCTTTGCAGATTCCTGCTTCTTTATCCCGAAGAAGAATATTCAAATATACAATTTAGTTTCAGTGAAAACACAGTGTTGTAGACTAAGCTTTACGCATCAGAATACAAATACAATGAAAGAGAAAAAAAACGCTAAATTAAAGTATTGCATTACATTCAGTTTCTTAATCACTCACTCTCTTGCCTCAAATACACATGATTCTGAGATCAAATTTAACATAATACATATTATGATCAGAGAATAGGTACAATATTTGATACGTTTTGATCGTCATCTTGCCTGAGGTTAAGACAAAAGCATAGATTGCAAGCCATTTCAATACTACCTGGGATTAGTGTTTTTAGTGTTTTGTTCTGTTTTTACTGACACATTATTAGTGTCACATTTAATATTTCGCAATCTAAAAGAAAACACATCTCACAATGATTAACCCAATTAAATTTTTGGCTAAATTTACGGCGTGAAAACAGTAAAATTCACCCGTTAATTTATTCGAATTCACAGAACGGCTATCATCCAAGCTTCAACAAATAGGCTATTAGGCGGAAAATAATTAAAAAATACCGCCTCTCGCCGGTATGAAACGATAATTTATCCATCTACAGGGATTTTGTTTGTAAAAACAACGATACGAAAAGATTAATTTGCGAAAATTACACGGCTCCGCGTTATTGTAGACTGAAAATGGCGCTTGAAAAATAAATGCTATTATCTTTCTTTATAGGTGTGTATTGAATTTATGTGAGTTATTGACTATGCGTTTTTTTTTTTTTGCGATTATCCTTTTTTGTCTATAAACAATGATCAATATTTTGTTTGCAGTGTTTGTTACACGCTTGTAAGGTATTCTTGTAAAGTGATCTTGTTGCCGCATTGAATTTTTGAAATTCTGTATACATCTTTTTTTTAGTGCTCAAGAAGATGGATGAACTCACGACCCACCTGTTGTTAAGTGGTCACCGGAGCCCATAGCTGCCACCCACCTTGACATATTAGTTTTAAGGTCGCAGTATAGTTACAACGGTTACCCCACCCTTCAAACCGAAACGCGTTACTGCATACGGCTGGTGGTGGTACCTACCCGTGCGGACTCACAAGAGGTCCTACCACAAGTAATATCGCAAATTATAATTTTGCGGGTTTCATTTTTATTACACGATGTTATTCCTTCACCGTGGAAGTCAATCGTGAACATTTGTTAAGTACGTATTTCATTCGTATCTCATGAGAATACGATAAGATCGAACTGGTTTCATGATGGCCAATTGAGACTAGGAGCTAATATGTTTCATGTAGTCATGGAAAGATCTAACTGAACATTTGAAGGGTTCGAAACAGAAACACATTCATGGGAGCTGTCCCACACTCAATTTACCCCACTGAGTTTCTCGCCGGATCTTCTCGGTGGGTCGCGTTTCCGATCCAGTGGTATATTCCGCGAAGCACTGCTCTTGCTAGGGCCAGCGTTAGCAACACTCCCGGTTTGAGCCCCGTGAGCTCACCTACACGTCAAGGAGAAACTGAAATAGCCTCTCAAGGCTATCAGCATAGGAAGGAAAAAAAAAATACTCAATCTATAGAAACTTTTCAGAAAATAATTCTTAATCTGTCAATTTATTATCAAACTTCCAATAATTATTAACTCTAAATAAGGTTTTTTTTTTTTTTTATTTAAGTACGGAAAGCGAAAAAGTATTGAACACGTCGGAATGTAGAAATCAAAATACCGAAATACATACATACATATTTAACACATACATACACACACAATACATATTTAAAACATTTTATTTAAATACGTCCCGCTGAAACACTTAACCGTACCAACAAGCAAGTTTAATTAAAGAAACATTATCAGCTTCTTATCTCCTCGAGTTAAACAATTTACTTTTTTTTTTAATTAAGCTGATTCAACTTCCCTTCGGAAAATTTAAAACGAATTCCGAGAACACTTTTAAGCTCGTAAGCTAACACTCCGAACTTAAATTGAGTGTTTCGAAGTTTTTGTGTGCTTGTAAGTTAAAGATTAAGATGTCTTTCGGATGTGAAGGGAGCAATAAGCGTTGTTTTAAGGCATCCTTAGGTGCTAAAGTAAATAGGGTGTATAAGTTATAAAGTTGCTTCAGCGATTTCTTGTCACAGTGTACCGTTGTTTTGTTTTAAGTATCTTAGATCTTAACAGGCAAAATAAAAATCTTCTATCTTTTTTCTATCTTTTTTGTTATTCGTGTTATTTATACATTATTTCGTTATTTTATGTTATTTTTGAAACCGTCTCTGTCGTCAGCTAAGTATGAGTACCGGTGGTTATCCGATAACTGATTTAATCTATTTACGGATATCAACAACAAGAAATAAAGTATTTGGGTGGGTGAGTTTAGTATGTCCAGGGAATGACTCCTCATGTTTTACTAAACGTTCAGGAAATAACGCAGCTTATCGATATGAAAAGGCCGCTGGGGTATTCGAATAGACGAGTGAGTGATCTTAACAGCTATTAATCTCCGCGATAAACTGTTTAATGTACCTAATAACGTGGTCACTTTACGCTAAGTTCTCACCGAGAATTACATTAAGTATCAATACGTCGAGTGTGGCGTTCGGTAGGTCTCTGATATCAATTTAATCAGATAAGAAGTCGAAAAACAGATTTAAAACGACATTTAAGTATTCAGCTAGTCGACACAACCTTCCACAGCCGCTGTCCGCGAAGTAATGACACAAGCTACGGTGAGATGTCGTTTCGATCTCTGATTTTATGCATACCATTTACCACAGCGATGATATACTTTTATTCTTCTCAGTCGGACACTCTTGTCAGAATGGTCGTGGTTGCGCTGACGATGTATTTGCAGAAGGACCCGTTAGGTTACCCATGCTCCCGAGGAACGCCCCCCAGGCAATGCGCTTCCAGGTCTGGCGGCTCGAGGCGCTTCGAGTACTTTCGACCATAGTGGACTCAGTTCTTTATTAGGTCAGTCCAGCGGGTCTGTGAGCGGCCGCGTGATCTCCTGCCTTCCACCCGGCCCTGGACTACGAGTCTCTCCAATTAGTGCTCTTTTCTGGAGATGTGACCAAAAAACTTTAAAACCCTCAGTTGCGCAGTTGATACAACGATAATATTTAGAAAAGGAAAATATCTAGTGTTATTATGTATACACTACATGAATGTCATAACGTTTCAAGAGACTTGAGTTCGTAGTCTCAATGGTATTTTAGTGTTTGCCGCAGTCTTTTAGTCGATTTACGACAGAAATAGATAGCGGGACGCATGATACGCATATGTCATAAACTATGTCAAAAACTAAACTAGAAGCGACAATGAGATTGTTATGAGAGTTTTAACTATAAATGTGGAACGCTTTAGAGGAAGAGGTAGACCTAAGAAAAAATGGATAGATTGTGTGAAACTTGTGAAAGACGATATGTGTAAGGGGGGAGTGAGCGAAGATGTGTTATATGATAGAGGAGTATCGAAGGAGAAAACAAATTGCGCTGACCCCAGGTGACTAGGAGCGGGGCAGGAAAATGATGATATGTTAAAAACTATAGCCGATAGATTGCCAACTCGAGAATATCTAAACTATTATAGTTATGCCACGATAAGGGTTCTTTTATTTAAAAAAAATAAAACAACGTCGAATATCGTTTATAGTGAAGCTTTGACTCAATAAACTCAATGGTTTTAGTTTTGTATGTATGACCTTTTTACGAAAATTAGAAGAATCATAATATAAAATAAATAAATAAAGAGATAAAAAAAAAATTAAAATAAAAGTTCATTAAAATAATAATATTCAAAACTATCTTTATAATTTTCATTTTTTAGTAACCTGACGCAATTAGAAAAGGACTGATGTGTGTGTATTATAATTTTTTATTTCTAAATTTTTGTTAAAGACCCGAGCGAAGCTGGAGCGGGCCGCTAGTAATATTAAATATATACCTATTCTAAGCTTTTCATGCTTACGTAAGTAATATAATCCCAACATTTAGTCTGGTAGATTCTCTGTGGATTCCGTGACCGAAAATGATACATCCGCGGGCATGATCCCTTTCGATAGATATATCACAGAGTAAACAAAACTCGAAGCATCGTTATTCCTAAATTATTTTTAATTTAAAAAAAAGCCGTATAATCTTTTAATGCTTCGTTCAACTCTAATCATCTTTTGTGCTCTAAAAATCTTGAGTTGTTCTATAGATCAGACCTTTTGTAAATACGTTTATTACGATGACTCTCTATTACCCTCATCTTGAAGTCTTACGGCGCATATAAAACGCGAAGAAACTCAGCGGAACGTATTCAGCGACGAGTGACAATAGGAATTATTATAACCGACGAGTGAACCCTTCACAATGCTCCCGCGAATACACTAAGCCTCCGACGTTGCCTTCAAACACAAGCGGTAGCGTTTTTATTCTTTTGATTTACAAAACAGCAATATTATTATTTTTGTTGGCTGTCATCGTCAATGCCCACCTAAGCGTATGGTAACGCAAAGCTGCCGTCGCACGAAACATGTCTTGTCGGATCCCTGGATTCACTCTCGGAACTTTTTAGAACCTCGAGCACCAGTCACTGTTTTCTTCGAACTCATGGATTACGACGAAGAGCTCGGTAAACGAACTAACACACTGAGTTTCTAGTCGGATCTTTTCAGTGGATCGCGATCCCGATTCGCTAGTATATTCTGCGAAGCACTGCTCTTGCTAGGGTTAATGTTAGCAAATCACTTACTCGTCCGTGCGTAGCCGGAATAGCATCTTAGGCTACCAGCAAAAAGGTAGGAATAAAAAGCCAAAAAACTAAATATCGTAATAGAAATATACACGCCTTTCTAGAAAGGACGCAATTCATTAGAAAAACCACATCAGTTGGCTCATTATATTTCGAGTAAGAATAACTTTGATACACCACAGTTTGAAGATGGAGCCGCACTAATCGTTACAATAATACAGTGCATTTCATATTAACGCATACAAGAGACTAATACTCCTACTTTTTCATTGCGCGGGTTAACAAATTCACGGCACAAATTGTGTTAAGTGGTTGCTGTTATTGTGTTAAGTGCCTATAAACATTAACAACACAAATACCGAAATGCACTTTAAGACAAGCGTTCTAAATCCCAGTCTTATAGTACAACCGTTGTCCTATTCTTCACATCGGAACGCATTACTGCTACGCGGCAAAAATACAGTAGACAGGGTGGTGTTATCGACCCTCGCCGAGTCATAAAACGACCTATCACCAGTTAATCGTTCTTTTTTAAAACCTTAAAACGCTATCTCTCACAAAATTGACCCTAACAGAAAAACAGAGAGAACTGTATTACGCTGTAGCGTCCCTGGCGACAGAGCTTTACCGTAAAGCTGTAAAAGGGCTTTCTTTTACTTGAGCCTTAATGAACAGGATTCATAGCTTTTAATGAAGAACCTACTTAATACTTATCTCTGATGGCCTAATATCTTTAAAGTTCTGCCATGAAGCAATTACTGAAACTCACAGATAGGTAATATAACGGAAATACTCCCATATGCCTTCTGATATAAGGTCTAAGTATCAGTTTTCATAATGATGACGTTAGTGACGCATACCCATCGTGAGATGAATCATCATATATCCAATTTCAGCTAAATGTGAGGACCCCATTTAGATTATTGTAAGAAATATTCCAAAAAAGGCTTATTCATTAGATTTTCCAAATGGACCAATATTATTTTGATGCTAACGTTGAACGCTACTAACTCAGCGGTAGATTGAGCATCGTCAGCTTCCACGCTGTTGACTTTAGTTTTCGGGCGGTTCATTTTTAGATTAAAATTTCCATGTCGGAAGCATTCAAACCAATAACGAGTCGTGCGTTCGTTTTATTCACTCCGCACACGTCATTAATGTTGTGAGCCGTGGCTACCGCTATGGCTGCCGTGGCGGA